TGATATTATTAATTTGGAAAATGAAAGAAATAATTTAAATATGAATAATAGTGATTATATTAAATATTGTAATTTAGTTCCTTTTAGATTGGTACCTTTTATTTATTAGAAATAAAATTGTATTTGTAATTATGTATGTAGATTTAATGATTAGTTTATCAAATATGGTTTATCAACTAATTTTATGTGCTCGTCTCGTGGTGTAATGGTAGCATAGTGGACTTTGAATCCATTGACGGAGGTTCGATTCCTCCCGAGACGGTAACGTGGCGAGCCATGAAATTTTTCTTTGCATTTGTTTAAGGAATGAACTTTGGCATATTACTACTAATGGCCCTATCATGACTAAGCACCAAAAGAGTTCATCACAAGAGAGTGTTGTAAATATTTTCAAATGTTGTATGATGGATAAAAAGCCGAAATATAGAAACTTTTCATACTTCTTCTCTTGAAGGAGAGAACACTTCCAATTTTGAAACTACATATTTGATAGGTGGAAAACAATGGAGATGCATTTTCTTCTCAAAAAAACAACTCTACACCTACTGCATCTATTAGAGTGCATTCTGATTTTTTCAAAACATTTCATTAGAGGATAATAGAGACAATGTCTGCACAAAAAACATGGTTCCTTCATCATTCTCCCGAAGAGAATAATAGTAGTGGTAGTGATATTTGTAGTCCAAGTATTCCTTCTTCTACTACTACTATTACAAGTAATCATCATCATGATAATGGTAATGATAATAATAGTGATATTCATGCAACTAAATGTACAAGATATACCAATACTATTTTAATATATGTTAATGGTATTAGATATTTAATTGATCATCCAAATCCTGAACAAACACTTGGTGATTATTTAAGAGTAAATTTACAATTAACTGGTACTAAAATTGGTTGTTCTGAAGGTGGTTGTGGTGCTTGTGTTGGTATGTTTTTAATATTTAATTTAATATTCAATATATTTAATATTTAATATTTAATATTTATTTAATATATTTAAAATATAATAGTAATGATATCACATTATGATCATCAATTGAATAGAATAATTAATAGAAGTGTTAATGCATGTTTATATCCATTAATTGCAGCTGATGGATATCATATTGTTACTGTTGAAGGTGTTGGTACTACAAGAGATGATATGTTACATTTAATACAACAAAGAGTTAGATTATTTCATGCTAGTCAATGTGGTTTTTGTACTCCTGGTATGTTATTATTTTAATTTTATTTTAATTTTATTATTTTATTTTATTATAATATTAATAATTTAATATTAAATTTACTAAATATAGGATTTATAATGTCTTTATATGTTTTATTAAGAAATAATCCACATCCTACTTTAGAAGATGTTGAAAGATCACTTGATGGTAATTTATGTAGATGTACTGGTTATAGACCGTATGTAATTTAATTATTATTAATATTTAATTAATATTTATTTAATATTTACAATTTAATAGTATTTTGGATGCAGCAAGATCAATTATTGAAGA